GCCGGACGAGAGGGCTGAGGGGAGAGAGGGATAAAAAGCGGGCGCGCGCACTCCCGATCAATAAGTTCGACCAATTCTACGGCTCGACGCTTTATGGACTCGTTACAAACTCACGCACGTAATTATCTCCATGCCGAATTCACATAGACGCGCACGCACACGTACACGCGTATTATACGTGTACGTAACATCATGCTGCGCTCGCGATAAAAGGCCTTTTAATCTACACGGCCACTTCCTACACGTTATCGGCGCGTGTCGCGAAGCGGAACAACGCCCTTGGATTACGCGTATATTAAGGTCGCGCTGCGAGTTCGCGTTTGGTCGATTTAATTTTGGTAGTTTTTAACACGTCACGTTTGGCGTGACAAAGGCGGGCTCATTTCCTCACCGAACGCCCGAGCGATTTTTCAATTTCGTTCAAATCATGGGCACCACAAACCGTGTTGCCCTCGTCACACGTTAAATACAATTATTCACCCTTTTTAAAAAAAAAAAAAAAAACGTCCCTTTTCGACGTCGCGATCGACCGCGAACTTGGCAAGTCTCGTTAATTTGCGATGAAAATTTTATTAAGACCGCCAGCAAGAACAGAGAAATGCACGGTCTATCGCAACGTTTGACGTCGTAACAACGATATGAATTTGCACTCTGAAAGGCGTTGATTTAATGTCAATCGCAGCTGCAACGAGCATTGAAAACGTTAAAGCAGTCACGATTGTACAATTACTCAATGTTAGACATTCAGAGTGAAATTGCAGATGAAAAAGACATTTAATGGAACAAATGAAATAATAAGTACTCATATTGTAATACAAAAAAAATTCTAATACGTCCTGCAAAATGACATTAATATATTCTCGGAATGGAATATCCGAGTACATTTGTGGAGCGTACAGAGAATTAGAAATTCGTAGATATATATTTAAAAGCAGGCGATTTCATATTAAATGATCGTATCAAAAATAAATTTGCGGTTTTGATACATCTTTCGATATTAATACAAGATTTTATTTTCTCTTTGATCGAAATAAGATACGTCAATATCCAGTTTGATCTGATATTTGCGATTTCTTCTGGCGGGTTGCCAATAACAGTCACCCTTCGATCCAGAGAGCTGTCCTGATAGTTTGCGTATCGTTAACTTCCGTCTCCGTTAACTTAGCGTCCGCGATTGAGCGAAGAGTCTCGGCGGCGGGGAGAAATTGACTTGTGCGGCGTTCGTGAAAGCCCACGCGAGATCGAAACCGCAGCAAACAGGAGGCGTCTACGCGGCCTTAATTAGCTGACGGAAAAGTGAGGAAAATTGTTCGCCAACCTAATGGTGGTGGCGTTTATAAGGGAAAAAAAAAAAGTAAAAAAAGTAAATGTGTGCGAGAGGACGAGGGAGAGAGAAGGAAAGGCCGCAATGACCCGCGACGGCTAATGACGTCACGTCGCACAAAGAGCGCCGAGAAATTACGATTGCAGGTGGCCGGGGCATTTCTCCGTTTACGTGACGGCGAATGACATTATTCGGTGAGCGTACGGAACGTTTAATTGGCCTATGGCGTCAGATAAAAATAGACATAACAGCAATTTCATTCACGACTACAGCCTCTCCATCGATTACAATGTATTCATATTTCGAAAAAAGAAAATTAATCGTTCACCCGGAGAAAAGGTTGAGAGAAGGTTGCTTCGATTTAAAGAGAGAAATTTCGGTTAAAGAAAAAAATTTCTTGGATTGGAACATAATTGTTTTAAATCAAAACAAATTTTATTTGATTTAAAAAAATTATGTTTAAATCAAAGAAATTTTTTTCTTTAACCGAAACTTCTTTAAATCGAAGCAAGCCTCTCTCTGGGTTAAAGGATGCAACTTGAGAATAATTGTACTGTCGCTGGCTTATAATTACATCTTCCATTAACACTTTTATATCTTTTGATTATATTTTTTGCTTTCTCAAATTCTAGGCAATTAGGAATGACAATTAAAATAAAAAATCTAAACTGTGTTGCAATTTGTATGTAACTTAATTGTGCAGTCAGAAGAAAACAAGAAAGTTACTCTTTGTGAATCTATATCATGTATAAAATACTAGTTTAAATAATATTTTGAGCCTACTGTTATCTTCATTGTGACATTACAGAAACTCGAAAAGAAGGAATCTCAGGCATGATGAGCAGTGCTGCAAAAAGTTTCGACATTTTATTAAGTTTCAACATAGCAACCAGTTTGGACGACTTACACAATTATTTTGATAGTCGAACAAAAAATTATTTTCAGATCTGCATCTAAATTTTTAAATAACTAACAAAAACTCGTTCTTCTCGTATATATTTCGCGCATTTCGTTGTGACAGTTTTTCACACATAAAATACACGCGCGCACGCAATGATCATCGCGCAGTTCGTTCCATTGCGCTTCGTCCATTTTAGCTGTTTTTTTGCCACGGCGAATATACTCTTCAGGATAAGAGGCGATGGGGAAGCGTGAGAGAGCGTGTCGTACTTGACGATTTTCAATTTCTCCGAGTCTGACGCTCGTACGTTCATTCGCTCGGCCGTTCCCTCGCTCGTTCGCGATTTTCCTCTAGCGAGAGAGCTCTGAATTTTTCGTTCCATCTTGAGCGTTCGCACATACGTGGCTTCCATCCCCTCGAGCAGCGAGGCCCATACAACTGCTACCCCTGTTACTCGCAATCGCGTTTTCCCGATACGTCTCTCACGTCTTCCGCGCTGCACGGAAATCAGCCGATCGAAAGAAACTAGGTCGAGAACGCTGACGTCAGCTTCTTGAATATCGTTCGATTACCACATTTTTCGATGGGGATGTTTTTTTATTAGCTCGTAACGTGTGGATATTTTTATGCACGCGTAGGGATGTTTTTTTGGTAGAGCTATTTATTCGCGAGTAAATCTCCAATGGTGGTCACCGCATAGCATTAATTAATACAAGGTCCAAAATGCTGTTCAAAGTTTTAGCCAGTTTTTAGCTAATTAGTAACATCATCTAAAAAGTTCGCAACTATTTGCGACGATCAATTAACGTTTCTTATGTTGGATTATTTGTTGAATAAATTACTGATGTAATTTCTTCATGAATCATATATGTTATATGTATATATATTTTATATCACATCATATTATCTTTTAGCATGGGCACATTTTAATATAATCAATAATGTGATTACTTGTTATCTGTTTTGCTTTAAATATAATAATTATTCATTATACACGCAGATATTTAATATATTAACATTATGTAATAAACTTTTCTTTTCGAAAATAATATTGTAACTAAATCAATGATCGATTACACTTTTCCCTGACATTGCATCTTTTTGTTTTGTTTTTTTTTTTAGAATTCGGTAAGTCCGCTTGTTTTCTTGATTGCAAATATTTTTAGGTGTTATTGGATTTATCTCTTTGAGCTTGACTAAGAGATCTACTAGTCCGGAATACGCCCCTGTATTACCCTCCTTTCAACTCTTTCCAATAGCGACTCCCATGAGACATCAGACCCCGATTACTATCCTCGAATAACCTGTTTACACATGAACCAGAGAGAACGTAGGGTAGGACGGAAAGAAACTAAAAACGTCAATAGCAGGAGACATTGTTGCATGCGTAACGTTCAGTAGATCTGTCGTCTAGAAAGACAAATAACAATGTCGATTTTTCTTTCTCATTGTGTTCCGGTTTTGGTTATAGAACTCATTCTGCGTTTTTCTTTCCTTTTACGCGTGATGTACTCTTCCATCTTCCAGAAACTTAACATTTCGGAAATTGTCCTATTCATGATTTCTATTGAAAATATTTTATCCGACGTCGCAGAAAAGACCTCGATCGATTTTCTATATATTCTTTCCACCAACAGAGTATTTTCAAGTTAAAATACTATTCAAAGTTACAGTTAGATAAACATATTTTCGTTCCTTTCAAAATTAACATTATGAAAGTTATTTGGTAGTTTCGAAATCTTATTTAGGAACACTTGATTCTGTTTCCGCATATATTCATACAGTCTTCATAAAATTCTTGGGAGCCGCGGCTGGTCGTTGCCCCGGCGATTTAAAAGTTACCGGCAACCCCAATTCATCCCCCGAGGCTACGTCTCCCATTCCTCAAGGATTCAATTCGGCATGCATAATTCCGCGAGCGGGGAGGATGAGCCGCGCCATATATACATCAGGAAAAGGAAGTACCAGCAGGTTTTTCGGGCGCGAAAGGAATTCCCGGACCTCGTCGAGAGAGCGTGTCGGTAACCCCTTTTCTTCCTGATGCGCCCTGGCTTTTCCCAACGACCCCCTGCGAGAACAAAAACTCGCGGGACCGACCGGTTCGAGTGAGAAGTAACGAGGACTGGACACGAGGGCACGTAAAGAAGGAATAATAAAATGCCACGTTGAAGATGAAGGAGTGGGGAGGAAGACCACCAGCAGCTTGTCGCGATTTCGTGAATTCTCATCTCGCGAGTTAGTTGGCCTGTCGTCATCAGCTAGAGTGCAATTGCGAATCTAGTTTGCGCCGGAAGTGCAAAGTATCATCACCGTACGATTCTGCGATCCCGATTCCGGGATCTGAAATTTTTGTACGCGCCGCCAATCGAAGTAAAGTTTCAAGATTCGACAATCGTTAATGAGATTTCACTTCCGTTAAAGTTCGAACGAATTGACCGTCACGATTCGCTGCCTAAGACACCGGGATGATTAATGACACCTAATATTTTCCGGAACAACGTCCAACAGTCGAAAGATCCGATCTATTTCGCGAATCTACGCCCACCCGGTCGCCATTAGAGTCACTCGCGTGCTTTATTGCTATAATACCGAAAGATCCCGCGGATTCCGCGCAGAAATGCCACGGATGCCGTCCGATAACGCTCCCCAGGCACGAACGGTCGCGCCCTACCAATAGATGATTGATATGTTTGCCGTCTGTGTATGTGCCGTTTCTTTTTTTGCGTCGAATCGCGGACGCATTCGAGCTGGTAAAGCGTGACTCCGGTACATGACATGGATGGATACAATAATGGCTGGTACCATCATCATCAACATCACCATGATCATCATCAACACCCACAGCAGCAGCAGCAGCAGCAGCAACAACAACAACAGCAGCAACACCAGCAACATCCATACCAACAGCAACAACAACCGTACTACGGGCATCACCATCAATACCAAAGCCAACATCATCAGTACTCGCAGCAGTACTCACCGAATTATCTCTATCGATTTTCCCTTCAGGTAATCCGCGGTATCATCGAACAAAACAGCACAGCTTGTTTTGTCTTTACGAATAAATGGAATATTCCGTGTAGGGCATGGAAAAAAAATCAAAAGCAGTATTATACTTCGATTTTCATTACGAATTGTTCGAGAAAACTGGTGATTTGAACAATACTGTAACGCTTATCATAGAACCATAGATTCAAATAACGCCCAGAGAGAGCGTATAGTTAAATTAATAATGTCATATTATTGTATCGAGAAAAAAATCGACGCTTTATAATATTAATTGTTATTATTAATAAAATATACCGATATCTCTTTTTATAGAATGTATTTGAAATCAGTGGAAAAATATGTTGCAATAATATATATCATACTAAAAAAAAAATAATACCAAAACTGTAGGTATTAAAAGCGATGAAACATTTTAAATTATAGGCTATTACAACAAATTTAATGGCTACTTTTGGCGACACGTGAGGTATATTTTTAACTGTTTCATGCCATATAAAAATCAAAAAGAATTTCAACTCCACGAACTGAAATTAATTATATCTAGTTATTCCTCGATTAAGCACGCGAATGCAATTTTGCACGTGGCTCGCTCGACGCGTTGATAACACCGATAGCTAATATAGAGAAAATGACAGACGCGAAAGTGGGGGAGATGAATTAAAGGGGAGCTTCACGTTTCTCTCTCTCTCTCTCTCTCTCTCTCTCTCTCTCTCTCTCTCTGTCGCTCGCTCGCTCCCCACATGAAAACCATTATATTCGTCGTCAAATGAACACGCTAATTGTAATTTAATTATTTTGCAGTAATACTTATGAACGAGGTTTCAAAATCCCATTATAAATTACCATTATTTTGATAACGTCCTGTGTGAAATTCGCGATGCAATTCTTATTAATCGAAGTGGATGCTGTACGTTATGATGCCGTACTATAATCGTCGAACAAACGCATAATATTATTTTCCACCTCGCGAAATCTCGCGTTTGACAATATCGAATGAGGATTTAATACTTTTCCGTTCGCACATACGAAGATTACATTAATCCAAGAAACGACGCTCTGCATATTTATCAGTCAGTAATCAATTCGGATATCGATATAGGGCATAGATAGCGCGCACACGGTTATTATGAACAACATGAATGCATGGAATATATATTATACCTCCGACAACAACGATTTTACCGTGTAACATTTTCGCGCGTATATCTCCGCTCTGCTCTGCTTTTTACAACGCGAGAAATACGCGGCGGTAGCCATATGAGGCCGGTAATTTTTCACCGGAAATCAACCCTTTCGCTTACTCACGTTCACATCACGTTGCAATCAATATTTCCTCGCTTACAACGAGCGCGCGCGATAATATTTGCAGAAACCTCGATATCGCGTGACGTTTGCGCCTGGAATAAAATTTATTGCGAAATAAAAAAAAAAATAGCGCATCCCAACCTCCCCCTCGAGTCTCTCCAAGAAATTTACACGCGTAGAATTTTCTCCGCACGAGCAATTGGAGCGGAGAATGGAAGGAATAACATCGACTGCAGAGATAGAAAAGAAAAAAAAAAAGGAGACAACGATGCAGACGCAATCTGCGATTTTTATGATCTGCGGCTCGGACGCGAACCGGTCGCATGTGCATCCAACGACATTTGTAAAATATTACGTGGTATATCGGGGGATGGTAAAAAGAGCGGTGGCAGCAGCGGCCTTTCCCTGATACACGCACGAAACTTGTGTCGCACGCACACAACGTGCGGAGGAGAAGAAGATGGAGGAAAAACGCCATTTCCGACAAAAAGAAAACGCTTTCGCTTATGACGGCTCGCGATTTTTTCATAACGGGCAGGCGAGGCAATCCGGGCTCAATTCCGATGCTTATCGACAGGAGTTAATTCCGTGCGCGAATTAATCATATCTAACGCGCGCCGATTTTATAACGCGGGGGTCGTTTTGTATGCCAACGACATGACCAGCCACATATCGATGAGCGTGTAGGGGTTGCGAGAGTGAGCTGAGACAGGCAACAGAGCAGACAGAGAAGAGAAACGAGGACACAGAAACGAAGACGACGATAGAGAGGCAGATACAGAATCCCATCTCCACAAACCGAGCGAATTCTGCGTCCACCGTCGACCCGAATACGACGAGGCGTGCCTTATCTGACAGGTAGATACCAGCCAGAGTTATGTGTTACCTACCTACGCCAAATTATCTTCCCGCCCTTTCGGCTTCCATCTCTCGCGAGAGCGTGTACACGAGGTTACGATCTGCGTAAATAGAATGTTAATCTTTAAATGTTGTGTGTGTGTCCAACATTTATTAGAAATCGAACTGCTGTCCGAGATTCCTCCCCTAAAAGTGTTCACCAAGAAATGGTGTTCACCAAGAAAAAATCTGAATTTCGTATAGATGAAATCCTCGCTCCAAGAGAGTGAAAATATAACCGCCCTTGAAAGAAAATGAAATATTTAACAAGATTTCACTGCAAGAAATTTAGAGTGTTGGTCCTCTTAGAGAATACTTATAATTTGAAATGAGATTTCGGAAAAAAAAATTCAATTGAATTCGTTGGATTATAATAAAGTTATAAATGAATATAAGAAAGAAAAAAAGTGAGAGAGAAAATTTTGGGAAAGTGACGAATTTCTATGATTACCACTTCCTTCTTTCCACTCCCTCTCTACATCGTTAATACGTATTTAAAATGCAGAGAGTATAAAAAAGCGCAGCTAAAAGGGACGTACTGTCACGTTTGCGAGCACGGAAGTGTGAAGCGTAAAACTTATCTCCGCCTGCGGAAATTATCGCCGTGACATAACCGCCATGAAAAACACGCGATATGAGGACGGAAGGATTTTGAGACGTATAAAAGCTCGCGCGTGTAGGACTTCTAATGAAGGACGTGGGAGAGACATGTCTTTGTCACCATCACCATATAGATACGCGCGGAATTGTACTCCCCCATATATATATATAGTGTTCTCGCGTCGAACAAGCCCGTCGTTATTATGCGAATTTACGCGATTCTACGCGCGTGCGAATGAGCGGCCACCGAATTTCCCTGCTCTGTGAAAATATCTCGAGAATCTCGTAACCCGATAAGACGGATTGCACTCATTCATGCGCGTGTTGCAAACACGCCAGTTTATCGACATTTAACCTTTCGAAGCTGACATTGCACTCCAAATCCAAGTGTGTAAAAAAGCGACTTCGATATATGTGTGTGTGATTAGTTTTCCGTGTAAATATAACACACTGTACTGCAAATATGGATTTACACATTTAAACGTATGGTCATTTTTACACGGAAAACACGGAATAACACATACATATTAGGTGTAGTAAAAAGTCATCGCGTATTTTTTAGCTCAAAGTTGTATATACAATATCTTCGTCAATAATGAATGAAATTCAAATTTAAAAAAAGGGTTTTAAAGCTTGAAATCTCTACTTTTAAAAGCTTATCACATTTTTTAAGTTTATATGAGTTTGATAATTTTTACATACCAAAAACTACGAGCTGAAAAAGACGAAAAATTTTCTTCTCACTTTGTGGATTTGTAACGTGTCCAAAACGAATTTGAGAAAATTTTCGATTACCTATCGTGAAAGCTTGATACTTTCCCTACAAAATCGTTTTTTTTAAATATTCCTACGACTTTTGATTACTGAGTTATCGCGGATTAAATAAAAGAATTATTTTGACTTTAATTGCTCATAACTCCATTAAAAATTGTCGTATCGTATAATTTAAAAAAGAGATTTTTAAAGCTGAAACTTTACTCTATCAAGATATAATATATTTATATTGTTGGTAAGAAAGTAATTGCGGTTTTTACTGATAGATGTCTCTAAAAAATACGCGATGACTTTTTACTACACCTAATATACATATATTGAAATCACTTTTTACACTTGGATTTGCAGTATGAGTCTGGTTTATATTGGATTTAATTATATATTTTACGTCGGCAAATTTGAATTACTCTTATTAAAATATAATATTAAGCTTCAATTTTTATTTTTCTTTATAAGAATTACGTCATTTTAAATTTCTTGAAACTAATTGATATCTTTTGGTCAATATAATGAATCTCACCGACACACAATGTCAGTAATCGTTGCAAGTTTTATGTCAGGTTTTGAGGATTAGGTGAATAGATAAAGATGCCTTTTTGAGGAAGAAAAAAATCAATAAAACAGCAATCTCAACATATGTATCAGAAAACGCAGAGTCATTTTGGCGAAGACATAGTCAGTTTAAGATCTTTGGAAATAATCTGGTACGCGGAAGCATTAATTAGGCCTACAAATTCATATTATTATTAACGTCAAAATAGACTATCTTGAAAAGATTCGCCGCGATTGCCAACATAAAAATAGCAAAGTGCCACACGAGGCACACAACTCAGGATCGAAAGGGAGAGAATCAAGAGTCGCGGGTGATGCACGGCGAGGGAGAGAGCGCGTCGGAGATGACTGGCTGGCCCGGGGGTGAAAACGGGACAAATGAGAGAGGGGTCTAAACAGCAACAGTAATTCGTTCACTGACAAAAGGCTCTGCTGGAACAATGACGTCTGCACCGCGCGTCCGTGTGCGCGCGTTTGCGTGTGCCGCTTATTGTGAAAGCCCGCGCGCTTTTCACCGGATTTTCCGTCTGTTACGCCCGGCCTGTTTAGATCGATCGACTGTCGAGCACGCACGCAGTCACATACGCATTCGCAGCTATATACACACGCACACGCGCACACACACACACACACACATACACACAATACATAGACAGAGAGGGCGCGATGAAGGAAAGGGGGTTGGCGACGCGCGTGAAGCGCGCGGGGGAAAGCCGCGCGGAAAGTGAAGAGTAATTGCCGCTTCGTGTTATCGCGTACTACATCTTCGTCGGTGTTTTTGATGCATCGCGAGTGTACGATGCGACGTATACGTGCCGGCATCGTAAATTCTATTACGCGATGGAGAAGCGCGTGTGCGGGGTTTTGTGTGCGGGTAATTTCAGGGTGGAAGCGTCCTCGTGCGCGAGCGAGAGGAGGGTGACACTGGTCAACGCTTCTCGTGGCGTGTGTATCTCGTTCGTGCGATCGAAAGTCGAAATAGATGAATGTTTCCACCGACCGAGGAAAAAGGCTGACACTTGGATAGTCG